AAGTACTTACCTACTCAACATCCAACATCAAACGATCAATAAAATATTCAAGCTCAAGTTCACCAAATCAAAACAGACGCATATTAATTCGTCCCCCATTCACAACGGTACCCATTCACAACGGTACCCATTCACGACGGTACCCAGGCAACACCCTCTGAGTCTCGAACCCCGCTAAGGGTCCCCAATTAGTCTCAATCCTAATTGATTTCACTCGCCGCCCTCGCGATCTATTATTTGTCCGTTTGACCGGACCTGTCACTTTGATCTTTGCAAATAAACATCTGTTTTAATATGTTAGATTTGGATATGGTTATTTTGATCTTGATAAGGGTACTCTCAAAATAGTTAGCGGATATTGTTAGGAAATAGTTTTTCATTCTTTATGAGTTGTCGCTTGTCCGCCACACACAAGTTATTTTCCTTTTTAATAAGTTAAGATTCGATGTGTGTGAAAACTTTGATGTCGCTGTGGATGAAACACTCTGCCAGCATAGAATAATAAAGCCTAGGTATTAGGGTGGTCCTTATTTTTCGACTTTTGAATTATCCCCGGGGCACTTTCTCATTCGATTATATACCTCTAAATATGAAATTAGCTTTATTTGTTTTATTTTGGTTAAGATTTAGAGGTCGCTACCAGCTGTCAAAATATTTACAAAAAGCTTTGAAGATCAAAAATCATGGTTTCATGAATGTTTTATTTAAGTGTTTATATTACATTATTTTTACGTGCAAATGAACATCGCATAGATAGAATAGACAATCGCTTCTTGTCCCCTTCTCCCCTCAACCCCTCTTCTGTACCGACCATGGTACCGACGCGTCGAGATGCTAACAAGTCAACTCTAAAAATAATTGATTCAAATAATATCTTAGTTCATAGCAACAACAAATACAACAATAATTTTGTAATATTTTTATTTGGCTTTGGCTAAAAATAAATGAATCTAACAAATACAGATTTTGTGTTTTAACTTAAAATTCAAACCTTGGTAGCGACCCTTAAATGTCTTTTAAAAATTAAAAAAAAAATAACGAAAGACTTTCATATGGTATAATATATTCAAATTACGTGGTGCCCCGCAAAATATAAGAAAAAAATTTTTTTCGTAGGAATAAGGACCACCCTACTGGGTATATAGTAAGCGCACGAAAAGTGAGGCACCTTTTTCAAACTTGAAAGTTTATTATTAATTAATTAAGATAAGTTTGAATAAAAATCTTTTTTTATGCTTAACAAGGCTGGTACTTGACCACAATCGCACCTGATGTTGAGTGGGATGCAGTCTAGGACATATCTGCCCTGTAAGTGCCTATTCACTCTCGCTTTGAAAAGGTCACACTTTCTCTTTAAAAATCGCCAAATTTAAAACATCAAACGTTTTGACAGTAATGACATGATATTTGACAGAATCATGATTTTTGCCTCACTTTTGACGAAGCGTTTGTATAAAGACTATCCATCTAGGCCGTGTTAATCCTGCCAGCCAGTTAATTACTAAGCTCTAAATAGGTACACTATTTGAGTCCCACGTTTCCACGGCAATCCAGTTATGCTCCCGCAAAATTAGACTACTATATCGCATGAACACGCATGTGTGAATTTGAAATTCTAATTACAAATTCGAACGGCCTTTTGCGGAACCCTGAAAACGGGATTTACGTGTGAATGTTAATAATAACAAACACAAAAACAAAGTAGGTATTACTAAAGGAGATCCTGCAAAAATACTTCCTGCAAGCAAACTATTTCTAATTTAAACTTTTGAATTAAAAGTTAAATAAATAATAATATTAAGACACAGCAACATTATTGTACCTAATTATTGCTATGTGTCTTAGGCTGAGTTGCACCACCTAACTTGACGTAACTATGACGATAACCGGTGTTTTTTGTATTGAGTTTGACAGATTTTTGACGTTTGTCAAAGTTAAAGTAAGATGGTGCAACCCAGCCTTAATGTCTAATATTTGACGATTGATAATACTTAACATTACTTAACAATGTTCTTAATCTTGTAACAAAATTGGCACCAACTGGAACTCATAAAAATGTTACCGTTAATTAATAAGTGGCCGCCATGTCGATTTTATTTTATTAAATTCGACAGCCTCAAACGCACGAACGGCTGTAATACAATACCGACACACGTTAAAAGCTTGTTGAATAATAACAAACTCCGGCCATTTTATTGAAAAATATGAAATGATGTTACTAACTATTACAAAAACTACCATAATTCAATCGACCAACGATCCCAATCGCAGTATCAACTGAGATTAAAATGCACAATGTCGAAAATGTATTATGTTTCTCGATTTGTATGAAAGAATTGATTTAATTATGCACAAAAAGCATTCAATTAAATGGTAACACACATTAAAATTATTTTGTATTTAGCAGAATTTACATGAGCAAGCGGTATTAATATTGGAGGATTTATAGTAGGTATGTTAAATTAATATAACTACGCTTATTCTCTTCGCATAAATTGTATACAAATAAATGGTGTGCATAGCAGCCGAAACGTCATGCCGTGAGTATACAGGGTGGAAACGATAAGTGATCTCACTCGATTATTTCTAAACTATACAAGATATTGAAAAACTGGTTACTGATCCTGAAAGTGCTTCACGAGCTCTTTCAAACGGTACCAGTAATAGGTTACACAATAAACTGGAACTATCCGAAAATTCAATGTTTCCAGCTTCCATACTAAATGTATGCCAACCACACAATATTAGAAGTGTAATTTATTTTTTGTTAAATAATAAACTTAAAAAGTCGGTTAAATAAACTCGTAACTTGCATCTTATTTAAAATTATTGGTGAAAAAGATTAGTTTTAGGCTTTACTTGCTATAAATTATCAAGAGATGAGTGCCATGACTGTGATAGTACCTACTAAATGTATGGAAGATGGAAACATTACATTTTTGGATAGATACAATTTATTCTGTAAGATATTGTTGATACCGTTGGATAGAGCTTGTGAAGCACTTTTAGGATCAGTAACTAGTTTTGCGATATCTTGTGTAGTTTTTAATATTATGTAACTTTACCAAATGTATGGAAGCTGGAAACATTGAATTTTCCGATAGTTCCAGTTTATTCTGTAACCTATTATTGGTACCGTTTGAAAGAACTCGTGAAGCACTTTCAGGATCAGTAACCAGTTTTTCGATATCTTGTATACTTTAGAAATGATCGAGGGAGATCACTTATCGTTTCCACCCTGTATAATTATTAAGTTAAATAAAAATTAGCTAACCCCTTAGGGGTGGAGTTTCGTAAAATCCTTTTTTAGCGAATGCCTATGTCATAACATATACCTGCATGCCTTTCAGCCCGATCCGTCCAGTGGTTTGGCCTGTGCGTTGATAGATCACTTCACTATGTCAGTCAGTCAGTCACGTCACCTTTGAGTTATATTTAGATGCCGCGTTTGAGACCCGTGTTTCTCTATTATAGTTGAAATGGAACGTGAAAGTTTTCGAGAAAGAAAATCCTGAAAAATTTTATACAAAGCATACCAATTACAGTTCCTAGAATTAAGTATACGAATTGAGTAGGTATAATATTCATTAACTGAACAACATTAAAGTGTGTTAATAAATCAATAGCACCACTCTACCATAAAAGCTTTCGTTGACATTATTTCTCTCCCAGCAGTGACATCTCACAATTTAACACGCGCGCAGCTGCACACAATTTTTATAATTATAAGTTCTAGGCATACCAGTTTCAAGTCTTTCGGTATGACAACCAATTATTACCAGATGGCACAGGTGCTGACATCATCGGCTATTTGACACCTGTCATGATGAATGCGGCAATTTCTTTTTTTTTTTTACTAAACACGCCTGTGATGACCTTCTCACCTCATAAGGCGGTTGTGACTTATGGTACAGTCATCTTGAGTAACTATAAAAAGTACAAAAATACATCCCCCTTTTTTAATTCGGTAAAAAATTATGTACCTTCAAAGTTGTCTTTCAGGTAAGCTTTAAATTCAGTTGAAGTCGGGTAATTTCAAAAAAATACTAATGGCATACCCTGAAACTGAAAGTTTCAAAGAGACTTTCAAAATATAGGATTGATAAAATACAAAATTCTCGCACCAATCCACTACTTTATTACAACTTGAATTATTAGCAAAACTAGCCAACTGGTTAATACAGTAATATGCCTGTATAGCCTTTACTATAAAACATCACCCTATAGCCAATAGGGACGGAGCGGTAAAGAAAAATGTCGCAAAAACATAAAATAAAATAATATTTAAACCTACGTTCACGCGTACGAAGTCGCAGTCGCGGGCACAGCGAGTAATGGCTACTAGCCTATAAATTCTTTTTCTTTTTTAAAGATTATTAGTACCCAATTTGTATTGCACTAATTACTAATAGTAACGTTAGCCCCTCATACTAATTTACTTACATCAAGTAACGTGATTATTCATATAACCATAGAAATCAAAATAGATAGAGCTCCACAAATAAATTTCGCACACACGCTGCTACAAGCCCGAATCACAGATCCCGAATATACAAATCAGAACATTGTAACATTCGCAACGGAAAATTCAAACCGAAACCCCGTAGCCAGAAAATAAACTTGGAATTGATGGTATTCTGACTGTGCATCGCTGAATTTGCAATGTAACGAAATTACGTTGAGATTGAACCCTTTGGTCATAGGTTCTCAACACGCAGCTGAAAACTTGCAAAAAATACGTATGAAAGTGGACTTGTAGGTAGTTGTAGGATAATTGCAAATAATAAATAAATCGGCCATTCTCAAATGAGCNCTTTGATAAAAGCACAATAAAAATATTATTTGCAAATTAATAAGAAAATCAATAATATAGAATGACGTTTACCGCTACAAAATTATTTCGATCCACATTCCGACTAGCTATAAATTTATCAAAATATCAGTTTTATCGGAATTAATTAATTATCTAATCGAGTCACACGACATCACTGAGTTTTCGTCTAAAACTGGATTGTTTTTGTCTCTAGCCTGTGGTGCACGCTGGCATCGGGCAACATCCTAGGCTCGGACGCGCTAGGGATGCGGAACGTGGAGGGCCGCGCGGTGGGACGCGCCGCGGGCATGGCGATGCGCCAGGACCTCATCGTCGGCGCCTGCGTCGACCAACACGCGCAGGTACAATAGAATAGAATAGAAATGGTTTATTGACACCATAAAAAAAACAGAAAAAAAAAACAAAAAGCAGAAAAAAAACATATTATGTAGGTACTATTACAAAGAGGTAAAGGTGAGAAAAAAACTGCGCCAATAGGCACCCGCTCAGCATTTATCGTGACATGCTCAAAAGGGCATGTCACGAGGCTGGCCTTCCGCGGACGCCCTTACTTATTGCGCATCTCTTGGAGAAGACACCGACTAAAAATAAGCATGGCGATGCGCCGGGACCTCTCCGTCGGCGCCTGCATCGACGAACACGCGCAGGTAGACTGAAGCATTCATCTGACAAGCTACATGCAGGCCAGCTGTGGTGCACCTGTCATTAGGATGCATCCTAGGGTCGATCGGACACGCTAGGGACGCGCGGCGAGCCTGGCGATGCGCCGGGACCTCGCCGTCGGCGCCTGCATCGACGAACACGCGCAGGTACAAAGTACACTTCACACACAGTACACTTCTTCTTCTTATCATGTCGACAGCAAACCTACACAGCGTCAGCCCAAAGCTCCGCCACAAGAGTGGCGTTGTCAGCAGCATTCATTAAATCCTCCTGAGTGCAGTTGCTCGGGCACTCAGGGCACGACATCATGCGATGAAGCCATGATGGGGAACAAAACCGCACCCGCACTCCATGTTTGAGCCAAGAAGCCAAGAATCCCCACCTGACCAGATTGTTCTTACTACGGCCAACCTGCGTCCGAAGTCTATTTAAAGACTTCCAGGTAAAGCCAGAGGAGCTCATGTCCAGGTGGAAGACTCTCATGCATAGGGACAAAAGGGCAGGGGAGATCAGCTCTCTCGCGCCATAACCTGCATCTCTCTTTTTACCGATCGTCATGAAGGAGAGAGGACACACATTTTACGAAATTGCTTCGGCTTTTTAGCCATTTTGAGGCACAGGGTCGTAATCAAAAAGTGGGTGCCGTGTGTCACCCAGCATGGCCCATTTCTCGGAAGAGGCCGCGACGGCTCTGCGGATCTCTGGGGGCGCTTTTCCAGCCAGCGGATACAGCATACAGGTACAAACGCTGATTGCATCATTCTGTCGGATTCATCTGACAAGCTACATGCAGGCCAGCTGTGGTGCACCTGTCATTAGGATGCATTCTAGGGGCGGACGCACTAGGGATGCGCGGCGTGCCTTTAGTCTCAGAATGTCCAATTTGCAAAATGTCAAGTGGTTGCAAAATGTCAAAGTCTCAAAATGTCCAAGCTGCGAAATGTCCTTACCGTGCCTGTAAAAAATAACAAGTCTATGAAAATAGCAAGCAGGAGATCCGTTTTTTTGGGGTTGAGGCTTGTGTCCAGCAATAAAATGAAACCATGACAACTGACATCTTAAAAAATAATTTTCTTGACATCTTGAAGTAGTTGGGTTAGGTTTAATAGGATACCTCACCGTCTGCTGCTTATTTATTTTTTACTGACAGTTCTATAAATAAATACATAGAACAAACAATGTAAATTTTCTCTTGTTTGCAGGACCAAGTGATCATATACATGGCACTGGCCGAGGGCAAGTCGTCGATACGGACTGGATTCGTCTCTCGGCACACCAAAACCGCCATGCACATCGCCGAAATGATTGCTAAAGTCAGTACCAAACACTAAAGTATATGTTACTTGAATGTTCCCATTGACATAGCCCGCAGAATCGCTAAAATCAAGTGGCAGTGGGCGGGGCACATAGCTCGTAGAGCTGATGGCCGCTGGGGCAGGAAAGTTCTTGAGTGGCGACCACGAGCCGGAAGACGTAGCGTGGGCAGGCCTCCCACCAGGTGGACCGACGATCTGGTGAAGGTCGCGGGAGGTGCCTGGATGCGAGTGGCGCAGGACCGGTCTTTGTGGAAATCCTTGGGGGAGGCCTTTGTCCAGCAGTGGACGTCTTTCGGCTGAAACTGCATCCCTAAAACGAACGAATCTTTTTTAACTTTTACAGAAGATTAATAAAGCTGGGGCGGATTTTTCACTCAAGAATAAGTTCTCCGACGTTTAAAAAATCTGTCCTTAACCTTATTTCGTGATTTGTTTTCTATTTTCAGGTTAAATTCGAGATATATCCTGATTCAACTCTCAGAAATCAAAACATCATCGAGTGCACCGGCCTAGGGCTTACTAACAAACACCTGACCCCAGCTCAGTAGTAGGAAGTTGTTCCCTAACATTAAGTCATATTGGCGACACCAGGCTGCCGATACTAGCTATCTGGCTAACATATAAAACGGTATTTATTGCTTGACTGAATGTATTTGTGTAAAGTATGTATTTAAGTGTGTTTCTGTACTAAGTTTAAGATTATATTTTTAATTTTATGATTAAAATTTTCGACAATCATTACGTTATTTATTATAGTAAATAAACTTTAATAAACTCCGTTAAAACTTTTTTATCGGACACGTTTGACATTTAACTTATCCTACATAAAATGAATATTCGTCGATATAGATGACCCACGCTGAACTGTCCCACCAAACTCAATGACAGGAGGGCGCTACCATCGTTCAACTATATGGTTTCCAACATGGCAAAATCGGAACCAGCGATCCGGTATTGACGGTGGCGCCCCACTGTCAATGTCATGGATGGATAGGACAGTTTAGTATTTTGGAACTATATTAGGAAAAGAAATAAAAATCCCAAGTGACACATGGTGAGGTCATTTATTTTAGATTTCATCTGGTACTGAACCTTACCAATGGCGCTGTCGCCAAATAAACATCATCTTAGGCCGGCAATACACGGACCGCTTGAAGCAGTCAGGGTCGACAGCTTCAAGCTGCGACTGCAGAGTTCTATGGACGCACATACAAGAACCGCTCGAGCAGTTGCAACTGATTCGGGCGGTCGACAGCACGGTGAATTTTCATCGTGCGGTCAAGCAGTCGCCAGCCATACACTGACTGCTCGAGCTGTCGACAGCTCTCGCGCAGTTACCTCCGCCCACTTTCTTCATACCACGGCGAGCGCGCTTGTGATTTGTTGAGCAGTTAATACCGACTGCTCGAGCAGTTATCGCTGGCAGCTTCAAGCTGTTGACTCTTGACTGCAGGAGCGGTCCGTGTATGTTGATCACTAACTGCTCGAGCTGTCCGTGTATTTCCGGCCTTAGTCATACTCGTACAACGTTAAGACTGTTATCCTAAATACGTAAGTACACATTATTATGTTGGGAAGTTATCGACATCGATCATTCTAATCATCAGACAACCGGAAGGTAATAAATATTTTCGTTTTTAAAAAACAGAACGTCACTTCTCTTGAGGAAGCACGGTCACGTTAAATCGGTATCAGTATAAAAACCGATCTATACCGGTTGCCTGATTTGACAATAAAATACATATAATGGACACATATAAATGGATATTGCACTGATAATTTCTAAAACACGATTCCTAGAGCAGTGATTCTCAACTTGATACAAACTAAGACAAAATATACACAAAAATTACTCACAATAGTGACAATAGCAAGGAAATAAATGCATAGTTGCGAATGTGACCATAAATTATTAAAAGTGGATTAATCAAAGATTTTCTCTCAGAAGAAATTAAAATTGAAAATCACTGCACCGAAAATCGTTAAATATTTAGTAAAATATGTGTCTGGGACAATTGAGCTACAGACATACTTTGATACTACGGATTTATGTCTAGAAGATATCGTTACATAATTGATTATACATATGTTTAAATATTCTATAAATGCCTTACGATTACAATCCTTCACACCTGATGTCTACCGGCTTGGCCGTTCCAATTCATTCTTTAATGTAAAATTCTTATGTATAAAAGTTCATTATTATGATATACATGCCACCTACCTAAAATTTAAAATAAGAGAACTTTATTTGACAACAGCGAAGAAATATAACTGATCGGTAACTCATCGGGCTACAAAGTTCCGGTTGTGTATAATTCAAAGAAATTCGTATAACAAAAATAAACTTATTAAACTAATAATATGTTCACATTTTTCTAGGAAACAAAACATTATATACAATGATTTCGGCTAAAAACCTTAACATAAATTAGAAGCTTTAAAGGAAAATAGTCGCATATAAAAAATATTCATAGTCATGCATCGCGGTTTTCAAACATGTAATTAATTTCTATGGCTATAACATACAACCTACAATTATGCGCAAAAAGCCTTGTCATGCCTACACTAGACCATACCGGAACGAAACAATGGAAGATGGAGGCGGAAGACACTCGTCATCCGACAAGATTACAATTAAAACATATCGATAAACGCACTTTTGTAAACAAATGCGGTTCAATTAAAATGGCGACGTGTGGAGCCGAACTCACGCGCCATGGTCCCGTAGCGTCGAGATACAAAAATAAAACATATCCGCGGGTGTCACAGGCTCGGATACCAGATCGCGTTGTACCGGTAGCCTTGTATATCTGTACGGCCTCAGCCTCGAACTTAGCGGGCAGCGGGGCGGGAGCGGCGGCGGCGCGGGAGCGGGGCGGGCAACGCAGACCCGTTCTCGAAACAAGCGGGCAGCTCGCGCGGCGCTTTAGCGGCGAAGTGTTGTGTTCGGGGTTGTGTTGTCGAGATATTTGTTTTTATTCGCAAACGAAATGTCTGAACAACGGCGACAATTTTATTTCGATTCAAATTTATTCCTAACGCTCGATTTATTGTGGGCAAAAGAAGGAGTGCGCTGCCCGCTCGTTGCCCGCTCCCGCGCCGCTGTTTTCGAGAACCGGTCTATTTGATTTTACGCATAAGATCCTGCCGCTCCCGCGCCGCCGCCGCCGCCCCGCTGCCCGCTAAGTTCGAGGCTGAGGCCTACCACCGGTAACCTGAATCAATATTTTTTAAAATACACGTGTTTTACTAGAATTACCCTGACAATAAATTTAACAGTTTCGATACCCAAATCAATGAAGGTGTTGAAAACGGTATCCAAGCCCTAGCGTATGTATGTATGTACTTAGAGGGCGCCGCTTTGTGCTGAGGACCCGAGACCCGAAGACCAGGAGACTAGGGGACACAGGGACCGGGAGATTGACAGCGGGGTCTTTACTCGTTCTTCTTGGCCGCCTTGCTGTCGGGCTTCTCAGCGGGTTGATCTTCGTAGCTATAAGAAAATAAAAATAGTTTTAATTTATATTACACAAATTATGTTACAGTATTTCTTTTATTGTAATTGGGTATAGTTTCTATTTCTTGGAATGAGGGTTTTCGCGAATGAAAAATCCGCCAGATGGCAATACGTAGACGCGAGGTCCAAATGCTGCATGATTGGTTATTTTTGACGTGACATTGACAGATATGACAAAATCTACCAATCACGCAGCAGTCAGACCCTACATCCACGTCCCACCATCTAGCGGATCTGTCATTCGCGAAAACCCTCATTGTTGTGTTTTATTTTTGGAAGACATTTACATTGTCATCAGTTTGAACAGTAGATACAACTTCGCATCGCATTAGGTAATCCCGCGTCCTTGATGAATTCCGCACGATATTAAAAACACCCTAAGCTAAACATGCTTGCGTTACTTGTGGGTTCGCCACAATAGTCCAGCGGCGCAGCTGGGTTCGAATCAACGTTCCTTGGATCTCGACAGGCCGGCCCGACTATAGCTAAAGAATCAGCACTCACTTGAACAGCGCCTTTAGTAGCGCGAGCAGAATCGGCACCGTGTCTCGACCGATAAAGTGTGACGTCACAAGTCTACTAAGGTTGTGCATGTGCAAGTCTTCATGCGTATACATTACCGCACTCGTGGGCATTTTCATAATTATACGCTACAGCAGACTGTCTATGAAGTCACGCCTGTAGCTCTGCAGTACGTATTCCTAAAAATCTTTGATTCAGCGCGTGACCAGTACCTCTAGCATGAACAACTTTCGTCTTCGAATCGTTTGGTATTCGACAAAATTCGATACTCATGATTCTCAAAATGAGTTTCGTGCAACCATTCCTCATACCGAGTTCACTTTACGACACGTTCACAAGGGCGCTGTTGTAGTTTTCGTACTAAATCTTTTGATGGCGATTCGAAAACACAAATGATTCGAACTTTTTCGTGTTAACAGTACTGGCGTTTGGCACAGCGGCACGAGGTACAGCAAGCGGGTGACGTCACGCGAGCACTCGGGACTCACTTGAACAGCGCCTTGAGGTCGCCCTTGAGCAGTAGAGGCGTGGCCAGGCACAGCGCACGAGGTGCAGCAGGCGGGTGACGTCACGCGAGCACTCGGGACTCACTTGAACAGCGCCTTGAGGTCGCCCTTGAGCAGCGCGAGCAGTAGAGGCGTGGCCAGGCACAGCGGCACGAGGTACAGCAGGGCAGGCTGAGCGCGACGCCAGGCGTGCATTACGGCGATGGTGCACAGCAAACCAGCGACGTATGCTGCGAACGTGCAGCGGAAATAGAGCTCGGAGCCACGCGCCAGGCTCTGAAAAAAAAAGAAATGTTTTTGTTTAATAAGGACTACAGTTGGCACCACTGGCTGAAATGACCCTGCTCTACAGTGACGCCACATTGGTGAGTGTAAATAAATGCGATATTCCGACCGCTTCAGTTGGCGTCACTGTCTCCGCCAGCAAGTAACAGTGACCTTAACAGTGCAGCAGTGGCGCCAATCGTAAAATAATAGAGACCTTATTTTGGTTTAAATGAGGTCTCTATCGTTTTATTTTGCAGTTTCCGATCTATTAGGCAAACCCGGGCCCCCGTCAGCCTAAGGAGGGCAAAAAAGAGGGGCGCTTTATAGAAAAAAAAAAGTTTGATACGTGCTATTTGTTTTTTTTAACACCTTTTTTAGACATCTCTAGTGGGAGCGCCAGAATAAAATTTTGCCCCGGTTAGAAAAAAGTCGTAGATCCGTGGCTGACAATGGAACTTAAGAACGTCAAAATAATAATAAAGTACAACGTCAAGTGGCATCAGCAGCGTATTCCTAGTATCCCTCCTGTAAATGTCATAATTTTATGGGACACTTCAGTGTTGTCCAAAGTGGCAAAAATCGGAACTAATAACCCAGTATGATGATGGTAGCGCCCTCCTGTCAATGTCACTAAAGTGTTGTACAGCTATAATAAAAAGGGAAAAAAGGTAGTAATAAGGGGCTGTTTACATGTCTCGTTATCTTTTGGGCCCTACCTTGTCGAAGCGAAGCAGCAGGGCGATGAAGATCCCCGGTACCACGATGTCGCCGAGCCCGAGCATCGCGAAGTTGTCCGCTTGCAGGCCGTTGACCAGGATGTCTTGGGGGAACACCACTGGAACGAAACAACAAAAAATCTAATTGAAAACAAACTCGAATAAAGTCTAGATTGCAGTATATTAATAAAGTATGTCAGTTGACTAACATCTTAGTGCCAAAGAGCACCTTTTTAAGAAAGAAAAATGTTTATTTTTTGGTTAGTAACACAAAATTACACAGTTTGAAAATATTTTACGACGTAAAATAGCAAAAAAATCAAGCGAGTATCTCAAGTTGAAGAACTTTATCGCATTTATGAATATTAAAATAAAACACAACTCGTATTTATAGGTCAAGGTTTTATGTCTTCCTTGCGAGTTTTCTCGAAATGATACAAACAAAAACTCAGCGAAATCAACAATAAATTAATAATTATATTTCCATAATAAATTGTCATTTACTATGGAAATGTCATTTTAATCCAGAGTTCATCCTAGGTGTAACATTTTTATTAATAAGGGGGAAAGTGTAATAAAATGTTCTTAACCGATTAGAGTCCCAGACGGCATTAATTAATGTCATAACAATTGATTATCTATTGTGTCTAGATTCGCGGAGCTTGAAGGATTAAAAGCCTAATTGCAAGAAATAACTGACTGTAGATTAGATGAATTGGAGTGGGTAATTTTTACCGCATATTCCATCTGTAAATGTCACGTCACGTATTTTGACAGTCAAGATCTTGCTGACGTTCAGAAGTCGTCCCATTGAAAAACAGTTCTAAATCCGTATTCACAAGGATCATTTTGATAGCACAATTACTCGATAGGATCGCAACTCGAGTGTTTTTTTGTCGTTGAAGTTTTGTTACGTGAATAAAGGCCTATTTAAACCTGAGCGATATTCGCTGCCGCTGTGGGTAGAGGTACATACCACGCGGGTTTCGCTCAGGTATCAGACGGTAGCGAATACCGCTTAGGTCTGAACAGTATTATTACCGTATACCCACTGGGTTTTCTCTGCCGCAGACGGTAGCGAATACCGTTTAGGTCTGAATAGGCCTTAAGGCTGCTGTAATATGTTTTTTGAACAAAAAAGACTCACGTTTGATGGGCGCCTCGAAGGACTTGGCGACGGTGACCATGACGTTGGTGCCGAAGACCCAGAAGATGTCGTAGAGGAACAGTCCGCATAGCAGGATGCAGCCAGTCACTACGTTGTTCAGGTGGAGAAGTTCCACGCCGTTGATAGCGAACGCGATGCCGAACAGGTTGTTGGCGATCCAGTGCTGTGAAGATACAACATTGACAGATTATTTAGGCTTCATTGAAAGAAGCGCGGCCCTTCACTATGTCTAAAGCCTACCCTTTGTTTCTTTGGACACATTATGCGGTCTCCAAGGCATTGTATGGAGAAACAAATTATCTTGGGACAAATGGAAGGCAGACGTTCTCGGGGCACCGACGAGATGAGGAAGACGGTGGGCGGCTTGCATCGTGCGGTCCACACAACTTATGACCGCAGTCTGTGGAGGAACACTATATGTGGTCGCGATCCTCATCAGTGAGGTACCGAGGAAAAAGAAGAAGGAAGAAGACAACTCTCTCTAATGTATCAGGAGCAATAGGTAAGGTTGGCGATGATGTCGTAGGAACAGCCTGCACAGCAGGATGCAGCCGGTCACTACATTGTTCAGATGAAGAAGTTCCACGCCGTTGATAGCGAACGCGATGCCGAACAGGTTGTTGGCGATCCAGTGCTGCGAAGATACATTGTCAGATTATTTAGTCTTTACTGAAAGAAGCGCGGCCCTTTACTATTTCACTATGTCTAAAGCCTACCCTTTGTTTCTTTGGACACATTATGCGGTCTCCAAGGCATTGTCTGGAGAAACAAATTATCTTGGGACAAATGGAAGGCAGACGTGCTCGGCGCAGGGCACCGACGAGATGGTCAGACGCGGTGAGGAAGACGGTGGGCGGCTTGCATCGTGCGGTCCACACAGCTTGTGACCGCTGTCTGTGGAGGAACACTATATGCGGTCGCGATCCTCATCAGTGAGGTACCGAGGAAAAAGAAGAAGAGAGAAGACAACTCTCTCTAATGTATCAGGAGCAATAGGTAAGGTTGGCGATGATGTCGTAGGAACAGCCTGCACAGCAGATTGCAGCCGGTCACTACATTGTTCAGATGAAGAAGTTCCACGCCGTTGATAGCGAACGCGATGCCGAACAGGTTGTTGGCGATCCAGTGCTGCGAAGATACATTATTGTCAGGTTAGTTTCCACTACAAGAAGACAACCGTCTCTGAGCGATAGGGTCCCGAACAGGTTGTTTGCGATCAAAGCTGCAAAGACGCGGGATAATCGGTTTAACTGGTCTGATTCCCTTGGAATGTTACGTAACGCTCAAATGGCTGTATCTTTGGACTGCGTTCTCTTAGAAGCGTGATTTTTTATAACTTCAAGAGACCGCAGACATAGTATTTTAAGTTAATTTCAACTTGATACCTCGTGTTCCTGAGAAAAAGAGTTTTGGAAGAAAAATGGACAACAGGTGATTCTATAAGGTTTCGGTTTTTCCTTTTGAGGCAGGGGGTTACAAAAAACTTACTTTCACAAGCAGGTACCACTAGGCGCCGAGTTATAGCGAAATGGACACGCAGTTGACGTCATAGGACTACGAAATTTTGACGTCGCCTCGGCACCCGTAAAGTGGTCAACTTACTTAACACTGGCTAGACGAGCAAGCACAAAGGCATGGTAAAAGAAAACTTACCTTCTTCAGCAGATACCAGGCGCCGAGGCACAGCGAGATGAGCACGCAGATGACGTCATACGACGTGAACTTGTAGTTGACGATGTCGGACTTAGCGTCGCCGGCTCCGCGCGTGAAGTGGATGTGATAGGGCACGTTGGGAATCGACACCGGGACCATGAACGCGATGATCGGGCTGCGGACAAAACAACCAATGGCTTTAGCACCCGTATGCACAAACATTCTCAGGGTATGCGTGGACGCAGTCACATATGAACCAATAGCAGAGCTCTGTTCACCGCTGTGCGTTCGATTTGCTGCTTCACTTAAGCAAGCATCGTTTGTGAATACGGATGTTAGCCACTGTGCAGAAGTTTTATAATTTGTAGAAATCTTTAACACATTTTCTCGTATTTTCGTACAAATCAAATGCAGCAAAGATCAACGAATGCAAGAAAATTATTAAATCATTATCACTGTACACACGCCCACACTGTTAACTATCCATTTCCGTTTTTGCTCTCGCTCTAATCAAATGGCGATTCTTTGCGATAGAACGAGATGACATGACTTTCAATGGGCAGTTAACACTGTTGGCGATAGTACCTACTTTTGTAATTTTTCTTGCAGAGTAGAAGGAAATATTTTACACTTATGTTTTTTAGGGCGCCATTGTCTTTTTTTTCTGAATGGCGATGCCTTCTCGAAGCCACAGTTCAATATTCTTTAAAATTTAATAAGTTATTTGCAAGGTAATAAGAGGATTCTTTGCCTGTTTGAATATAGCCTCTGAGACTAAAATATTTTATCATAATGCAAAATGTACATTTGTGCAGAGTAGACATAGACATTATGCAAAAATATGCGTCAAATGCATTGTGCTAAATCAGTATCTATGCCATGGGCAGGGTCACCCTCGTATACATAGCATCCTTTACATGGCAATATTTAAACTATTCTAAACTATTTCATAAAAAAGACTTCAGGCTAAGGGTCATTATTTATTTATTATAATATGTGTGCAAACATATGTATGACGCATTCCACACACGCTTTTTTGTAGTTGTTTGTTAAAAATGTATGGATGAGCACATCAAGCTAAACCGTGGAGTCACGGATTGATTGAGGCCACCCACAAGATGGACCAACAACCTCTTAAAGGTAGCAGGAAGGTGCTAGATGCAGGCCGCTACCAACCAGCGATATGGAAATCATTGGGAGAGGCCTATGTTTCACAGTGGACGCAGTGGCGTAACTACAGGGTGGCAGAGCTGGCAAAATGGGCTCCCGACCCCATGAGGCTCCGGCCCAAGACCCTAATCGCACCTCCCCTCGCTCGCGATGCTTCAATGCTTCAAAGCGATGGACTCGGGGCCCCCCTGAAAAATATAACCCTAGATACGCCAAGGGCCCCATGCTTAGTATTTGCCACGGGCCTCGGATGGTATAGTTATTAAAGTAAACAACCACATTGAGGTTTGAAGCAAAACTAATTTATTAATAGAAATACCAAACTACCTACATAGTTGTTTATAAAATTAATAATTCTCATACCCTTGGTTTTAATACATAACATACCTTCCCTTTGTAAACGAAAATTAAGTATTATTACATAATCAACACAAAACTGAATCATAATAATTAGTATGAACTTAAATCAAATTAAACTCTTAATTACTAGGTACTCCAATTATATCTGGCCATAAATCAGAACTAGGTATAACTATTGGCTCTGGGGAAATTTGCCCAGAATTTGATTCAATGTCTGGTCGGTCCCATGATGGCCTAGGCTGATCATTAGGTTGTTCTTGTGCCGTTGTTCTTGCTAAAATCTGGTCAGCATGTCTTCTGTGTAATTTACCATCCTCCGTCCTTATCTTATATGAACAAGGACCTTCAACCACATCTATAATGCCTTTAAGCCATTTTTCTCCAGGACCATAAGCTCTTATCAAAACCGGTTGGTTCACAGTAAAAATCCTTTTAGGTGGTGTTTGTGCTGCATTTTCCAGTTGTAAATCAGCCATGGTCTGTCTGTCTGTCTGTTACGCTTTCCCGCTTAAACCTCGCAACCGATTTTGATGAAATTTGGCATAGAGATAGTTTGAGTCCCGGAAAAGAACATAGGATAGTTTTTATCCCGGTTTTTGAAACAGGGACGCGCGCGATAAAGTTTTTCTGTGACAGACAAAAATCCACGCGGGCGAAGCCGCGGGCGGAAAGCTAGTACAGAAAATAAAAACGAAGTAATTCTTATCCTATTTAACTACAATCGCCCACGCGCCCATCCCATTTGTCCGCCGCTGAACCGTACCATAATATTCATCTCGGTAGATGGCGGCACATAGTAAGAATTTGCAAGGAAGTTTGTAAAAGTCACTAATTAACACTTTTATTTGCTCGTTTAAACACAGTGAATGATTCAAATAGGTACATACAGTGAATGGTTTAATTACATAAAATATCTTTATTTATTAAATTTTCAAAATTAGGTATTTACGAACAGCGCTATTCATANAATATGTAATTTATTTAATAATAAAAATAAAAATATTAAAACTTATCTAATAAAATTAACTATTAATTATTTTCTAAATTACATTTTAACCTAAACTTTATATAATTTTATTATGACCCCAAGCCCAGGTTGACACTTTGTCTGATTGAATTAAACGTTTGTCATCGGAATTGGACAATGCTATTTTATTAACATTTTGTGTAAAAATCTCATGCTTGATACATCTGAACAAAATGTTTTTTTTCCGTATCACTGTGTTATGAAGCAAAGCTGATCTATAGTCAGACGATGACAAGTCTCTGACTACATTTTTCTTAACGCCTTTTGCTTTCTTAATAAGTGATGATTCTGTTTTTATGCAATACAATTTAGACCGCAAACCTACGAATTCAGTCATTATTTCACCTCCTAGCTCGTCTTTAAACAAGCCAGGAATTTTTTTGTTTTTTATCGGTAAACCAAAAATATTATCTACACTATAATTACTAGTATCAAAGTAACTTAAGAAATTATTCTTTAAATCATTATAAAAATCTGATGTTTCAATTTTGTACACAAAACTATCAGTATCTGTGTAACATAACTTTACTTTATCCCCATAGTGAGGTTTTATAATTGAATAATGAAATTGGTACATATGGCTTTTTGAGAGCTCTAATACAGCAAAACCGATGTAAATTGGTTTGTCTAAAAAAATTCTCTCAGGTTTCATCTGGACAGCTACAAAATTTTCTGAAAAAATTGTAGCACTATGAAAGTTTGGTCTTGCAATTAATTTGTCTGCTGAAATAAACTTTTTTGTTTTATTGGTTTCGTCAGACCACCTATTAACCAATCTCACATCTACTCTTTTTTCGATGTCTTCCAATGTTTTACCAAACACGGAATTATTCAACAGTTTAAATAAATCTTGTTGAAATGGAGTTACCGCTTTTTTCCGTAGTTCAGTATTCAAATTAATATATTCACCTAAAAAGGTACTTTGTCTGAATGTCAATACACGATGAATTTTGTCTAACACAAGACCATTTTTAATGCAGGTTTTTAAATGAACGTAATGAATCACATACTCATATTTTGAATACAAGTTAGGAATTAGTTTAGGAGTTTTACCACCAGGTGGTATGAATTTTTCTGCACAGAAGGGGTAATCGTTATGAAGATCATGTAATTCCTCAGGATAAATTAAATCCACTTCGAGAATAAAACCAAAGCTTGCATCGTCTGCTATGTTCATGATATTTAGTTGGTCTATTTCATTTTGATCTAGCAGTCTAAAATCGGAAACAGGCAGAGGTTGGCACATACTGTGGCCATACAAATTATTGCAGTCGATGTAAACGAGAAACGAATCGGGTTCGGTATGATCATGATACGGCATGTATTTATTATTAGCTTGGACATATCTTGTAGGACACAAACAAATTCCTCCGCGTATTCCTTTCTGTATGAATCGTATAATTTCTAAGTCAGTTAACAATTCCAATTGAACACCTGTTTTAAGCAGCATAGCGTCAAATGATAAACTCGGAGCAGTTAAATAAAAGGCTNAGTGTAGAAAACGCAACCGCGTACGGTACGGTATCACTAGATTTTTCGCAGTATCACTAGATTTTTCAGAGTAAAATAAAAGTTAGAAACTTTGAATTACCTACATACTTAATGTAAATAATTTTACAATTTTTTTAAAGTCATATGTCGGTATTTATGAGGTAGCACTTACCTGCGAAAGCAGAAGTAGAGTTGACGTTCAAGGATTTGGCTTTATACAATATTCGGTCAGTGTAAGCTGGCGCTCGCTGTTTACTGGACGTATCGAACTGTTGGCTGCCAGGGTCATACTGAAACAACGAATGATGTTTTAATGTCTTCCTATTTGGGAATTAACCATAGAGAAACAAGATGGATGGGTCAACTTTATGGATTACGGCACCACAACCCATAAGAGGGACTATTGTTTCTAGAAAACAATGGAATAAGTCTGGTCTGCTTCCCAACGCCGTTTCTTATAATATGTTGCCCTTGCCATGAGCGACAGTCTGTATTACCCGAAAATACGGAAATTATCATCAGTCATTTTATGGAGCACGACCTTCTCTAATTCACCAGAGGCAAATAGAGAATTTGGCCTACACTACCCCAAGCTGGCTAGATGGGTTGGGGAGGTAACGGGAGGTTTGTTACAATAATTTGCAATACATTGCAAGCCACGATAGCCGAACGGTGCAGGGGTTGGCCTGGCCAACTCGTGATCCGGGGAACGTGGGTTCGAATCCCACCGGTCAACTATTGTGGTGAGCCCACTCGTGACACAAGTATATTTAGCTTAGTAACGGGACTTAACGGAGAAATTACTAATAATCTTTTAAAAAAAACATTCAATGTTAAAGCCCGGTCTGCGAGCACGTAGAATTTTGTCCAATGACCCCATGCTACCCGACGGGCGCCCGCAGTGAGTGTGCGAGCGCGACAGCAACATTACGCGCGAGCGATATTGCTGTCGCGACTGTGCGACGGGCGGCCGCAGTGAGTGTGTGAGCGCGACAGCAACATAACGCGCGAGCGATAAGGATGGGTAGCTTGGGGTCATTGGACAAAATTCTACGTGCTCAAAGACCAGACTATACCTTATAAGTAGGCGGGAATGTGATTGGGGCTTCCCTGAAGTCTCGGAAGGC